CCTAAAATGCATGTCCCTGCATTTTACCTGTAGATCTGTGGGCTCATGTAAGGGCCCCTGCTCTAAGCACAGCCCTCTCATATCCTTGCTTCTTCTATATACTTTGTCCTCCCCAGTGTTTTCACTTCCTTAGACCCTATGTCCTTCACAGTCATTTTATTACTAATTCTTTCAACTCTCTGTCCCCATGTTTTTCAATTGTACCCATGTGGCAAAACCCTAAAGGATCAATCTCATATTCACCAGCCATCAATTCTCTTTGCCCATCCCCCCTGCATTTGGCCTTACTGCAGGCCTGTGGCATTCCCCACCTGAATTATTACTGTGGCCTCTTGCCCCCTACTAACTTTTTTTTTTTTTTTTAAATATATTTTATTGATTTTCTTATAGAGAGGAAGGGAGAGAGATAGAAACATCGATGAGAGAGAAACATCGACCAGCTGCCTCTTGCACACCCCTACCGGGAATGTGCCCGCAACCAATGTACATGCCCTTGACCGGAATCGAACCTGGGATCTTTCAGTCCGCAGACCGACGCTCTATCGCTGAGCCAAACTGGTTTCGGCGCCCCCTACTAACCCTTAACAGAGATTCTTCATTCTGACTCCAGTCATTCTGCCCATGAGCCCTCTGCTGTAGTAACCAACGTGGACCATTCAGTTTTTCCTCCCAAATATGTTTTTTAACCTTACTCTAACTCTATACCTGATGTCTTTAAATCTTTGATGTCTTTTCTTTGCCTAGAACACATTTTTCTCCTTTTGTCTGGCTCTGCTCTGTATTCCCCATCTTAGTACTTTATTGTACTGCATCTTAATTGTCCATCTACTTTCAATGCCTTTATTGGAGTAGAGGCTGGGATCTTATTTCAGTAGCATCTGACTGATACTTGGCTGTCATCATCGTCGTCATCCAATCTTATTATTCTATAGCAGGGGCAGTTTTATTCCCCAGAAGACATTCGTTAATGTCCAGAGACATTTTGATTGCCACAACTGGAGAAGTGCTACTGTAATCCATTGTGTAAGAGGGAGCAGTCCCCTATGTACAGTCCAAAATGTCAGTAGTACTGAGGTTGAGAAACTCTGCTCTATAGATACATGTTTAATCTCACAGCTAATTAAATACTTCAGTTCTCGTAACCATGGAGCACATTTCTAATAACAAAGTCTGCTCTTGTCCTTAGCATTTGTTTGGGATTCTGGCTTTAGTAGAGTAAACTTCCGTTTCTACTGGGTTATAAGTATCCAGGGACTTTCGGGACTCTGCATAGTGGACATTTGTTAATAACCCTGGTAGGTAAATAGGCAGGAGGGAGCAACTGGACTTTTCTCTTATTTGGCATTTAAATGAGCAAAAAGTATCTGCTTTCATAATATAATCCCTCTTTAGAATTCTATGAGGGCCAAAGTAAGGAATTTTTCATTTTTCCTAAAGAGTATTTTGTTCAGTAGTATATTATACTCACTGTTTACTCTTTTTTGTTTGGGATAATTCTTAACTAGATATTTGAGATCCCATTTGTATGATCTGAGTCTTTAGGGCAGGAACCATGTGCAGTGCATAAAATGAGGCTCAATAGATATTGTTTAATCTTCACAGCTAATTAAGTACTTCAGTTCTCCTAACCATGGAGCACATCAAATATTGTAAGCCAGTGTTTCTTAGATTTAAGTTAGTCATATATTGTCTTCATAACTTTAGTCTTTTAAATAAGTCAGAAGAATGCAAAGAGATAGTTACCAGCACTCTAGCTCACCTCTGTTCAATAGAAATATGATGTAATACACATATGTAACTTTGCATTTTTTAATAGTTACATTAAAAAATACAGGTAAAGTTTATTTTAATTAACAGTATATCTAAAATATTATCATTTTATCATGTAATCTATATAAAATAACATTTTATATGTATATATATATTTTACAGTAAGTGTTCAAAATCTGGTGTGTATTTTTTACTCACAGAATAACTGAATTCAGACCAGCCACATTTCAAGTACTTAAGAGCTACATATGACTTAGTGGTCACCATATTGGACAGAACAGCTATAGACTTTAATGATGATGATGAAATTGGTCATACAAGAGGAATTTCAGATTAATTCTTCAAATGATAATATTCTAGATATATTTTCCAAAATTCAAGAATTGATGAGAGAAGAATATATTTTTAAGGAGAAAAAGGAAATATATGTGATAGTCTCATCTAGTAAGTCATTCAATAGGAAAGACTTTATCACACAATGTAAATAAGAACCTGAATCATCCAATTTTGCTAAAAAGTATATGTGACAGTATATTCCTTCATCTTCTGTGATATATGTACACCAAAATTTACTTTATACAATTCATAGGGAAAAATGCTGAAAGTAACAAAGGTGTATACAAAGATGATCGGAAAGCATAGATAATGGCAAAATGAAAAAAGTCACTGATTAATCTTTTGAATTTGTCTTTATAAGCTTAAAAATGTAATTATTTTTCAGTTAGGTACAAAGAAAATAGTTGAACTCCCTTCAACAAAATTATAAGTTGTCATGTTTTTTTAAAAATTTTATTTGATGGTACAAATGCAAGAAAAAGAACCAGAAGTAATGATAAACTAGAACCTATTGGAAATATATTTTCATTTTGAAATCAGTATTACAAGCTGGATATGTTCCAGGTTTATGCATGATAACTGATGAGTTGCAGTCAAAGAACATTGCCCATTTCAAACATATATGTCTTTAAAACATAGAAGATGTTTTTGTCTTTAGTTAAACATTTATGAAAGTATTTTTCACTAGAGGTCCAGTGCATGAATTTGTGTACAGGTGGGGTACCTTGGCCTGGCTGGAGATCAAGGCCTATCAGGGTGGCAGGCTAGGGGGAGAGGCCGTGGGCAGTTGGCCAGCTGTCCCTGCCCTGGATCCAGATGGGGGGGTGATTGGGGGGGCCTGCCAGATGGAGGGGCCACAGGAGGTTGTAGGGGGGGCAGGGAGGGGCACAGTTGGGAACCAGATTGGCCAGTTGGCCGCCACAGTGTGTGTCATAGTGACCAGTCATTCTGGTCATTCCACCGCTTGATCACTGGGTGAATATATATATCCTATCCTTCTTATGTAAATTGTAAAATGACTTTAAAAAGGTCCAGCCCTGACCGGTTTGGTTCAGTGGATAGAGTGTCAGCCTATGGACTGAGGGGTCCCGGGTTCTATTCTGGTCAAGTGCATGTACCTTGGTTGTGGGCACATCCCCAGTAGGGGGTGTGCAAGAGGCAGCTGACTGATGTTTTTCTCCCATCGATGTTTCTAACTCTCTATCCCTCTCCCTTCCTCTCTATAAAAAAATCAATAAACTATATTTAAAAAAAAAAAAATTAAAAGGGTCCATTGGATCAAGGTAGTAAATGATGATGACTATTTTTACCTGTATGCTGAGGGTTAATCAGAAGGTTTATAAGAAGATTGGAAAGAAAATTTTTCTTTTAAAATAAATTTCTATTTAATGTTGTCAGTAAACTCCCATCGTGCACTCAGAGCTCTCGGTCAGATATTTAGGAAGTCCCACTCAGTCATGTGCCAAGGGCCACTAGATTTCTGTTGAAGGTCTCTAAATGCAGAAGATAAAGAACAAAAGACACAAAGGGGGGAAAGTGGAAGAACCTATAACAAGCAAAAGAACAAAAATCAAAACCCTCAGAAATAAGAGAGGATATTATATCCTTGACATAAAAATAGGATATTAAAATTAAAAATAGCACCTACATGACAAAAAAAAGAAACCTCTTGAAATTAAAAACACATGGCAGAAATTATTATAATTTGGTTTATTTTGGTGGTTATATCCATTGTTATTAGTCATAGGGTTATACTATTTCTTGTCACTTTAGACATAATCTTGCTATAACAAATTAATACACTTCTGTATTTTCACTTATGTCATCTCTTAATGTAGTTATATCACTTTAAATATATATATTTTTATTGATTTCAGAGAGGGAGAAAAAAAGAGTAACATCAGTGATGAGAGAGAATAATCAATTGGCTGACTCCTGCATGTCCCAACTGGGGCTGAGCCCAGAAACTGGGCATGGAATCAGACTAAGACCTCTTGGTTCATAGGTCAATACAACCATTGAGCCACATCGGTCGGCTAGTTATATCATTTTAAAGTGATATTTACCTTTGACCTGTAAAGATATACTTAAATTACTTATTCTGTCAACTGTAAGTAAAATCTGTTTTACTTTTTTGTTAATCCTCACCCAAGGATATTTTTCCATTGATTTTTAGAGAGAGTGAAAGGGATGGGGAGAGATGGAGACATTTGATGTGAGAGAGAGAGACATCAATTGGTTGTGCCTCTCGTAACCGGGGATCAAACCTGCAACCCACATACATGCCCTTGACTGAATCCCACCTGCGACCCTTTGGTACACAGGCTGACACTTGAACCATTGAGTCCCACCAGCCAGGGCAGATCTGTTCACTTTTGAATTCTCTCTCTCCTCACCTATTTTTACACATAGATGCTTTCTCATCTATAATTATAAAATAAAATAATATAGTTTAGTAAATAACTTATTTATAGAAAGTATCAAGTTTTGGCTGTATTTTTTTGTTTTTGCTAAGTTATTTTAATAATGGACTCTAACCAACACACATACTAGTAAGCAGAGTCAGATATCTGTGTTTCACTTCCCAGCTTTGCATTTTCAAGGGTGTTGTGAAGTACAGCTTTTCTTTTCTTTTTTTTCTTCAGAGGAAAGGTCATTTTTCCCCAAGGGGCTGTGAAGGTTAGCTTTTTTTTTTTTTTTTTTTTTAAAGGAAAGGACTTTTTTTCAGGTAATTTTACTGAAGTGGCCGAACCTCCTACTGCATTGTTTTTCAAACAGTTTGTGATCTAAAATAAATATAGTGTCTGTCTGTCTATCTGAAGTAGTCTCCTCAATCCTTTGGACTCAGTTGGCCGTGGTAGTCTGCTGTAATGTGTTTTCTTTCTTTGATCTAGGCAGTTGACAAGTACTTCAAGCTTCCTCATGCTTCCAGCAAACCACCTCGGCTTTCAGGAACCCTTGTGGACACTTCCTATAAAACATTAAGATTCGCATTTAGAGCATCACTAAAAACTGCCATCTATCGAATAACTACTACATTTGGTGACCATCTGAAGTAAGTTTACCTGTTTTGATCTCTGATAGTATTATAGTCCATTTTCAAGAGTTTTCCTGAGAAATAGGCATGAGGTTTATAAAGGCTCGCACATTGAAAGTTTTTTTGGGGACCTTCATGATTTCTCCTGGGAATTGACAGCTTGGATTTAGACTTATATTTTATTTTATTTTTTATTTTTTTAAAAGGAGGACTTTATTATTTTATTTTATTTTTTAATATATTTTATTGATTTTTTCACAGAGGAAGGGAGAGAGATAGCTAGAAATGACAATGAGAGAGAAACATCGACCAGCCGCCTCCTGCACATCCCCCCCACCGGGGATGTGCCCGCAACCAACGTACATGCCATTGACCTGAATCGAACCTGGGACTGAACCTGGGACCTCTCAGTCCGCAGACCGACGCTCTACCACTGAGCCAAACTTATATTTTAAAAGTTGGCCTATCGTATAAGCTTTGAGGCCTTCTTTCAAATGGACAAAAAAAGGGAATAGAAAGTTATAAAAGCAGCAGGTATAATTACATACTTTTTTTTACATCAGGAAAACATCCTTCAGGGAGGAAAAAAAGGCAAAAAATAATTCTGTTATTGCATCTTGGTCAGCAAACTAAGACTTGGGGTGAGCAGAGTATTCCATAAATGAGTCCTTGGTGCTTTGTGAATCATGCTGGAAAAACAGTGACAGATCACACCTTCAGACATGGAGCCAGAAAGAAAACCACAAATGCCAAGCCTGTTTATATTTAGTTTCATTGATGTTTATTGCTTTCTTATGAAATAATTTAGGCAGGATAAAGGATACTAATTCACTGACTAAACTATATTTTCTCATAATCATAAATGAACTGTAGAAGACAAGAGAGATTACTCTGTTTTCTGTATGCAATCAGTTAATAGTTTAGAACTTTCTTATACATCTGCTTTTAGAAACAGTATTTTTTTAAAGATGTTAATATTTTTATTTTTTAAAAATATATTTTTATTGATTTCAGAGAGTAAGGGAAAGGGGTAGAGAGAGAAACATCAATGATGAGAGAGAAAATCATTAACCAGCTGTCTCCTGCACGCCCCACACTGGGGTTCAAGCCCACAACCTGAGCTTGTGCCTTTGACCAAAATTGAATCTGGGACCTTTCAGTCGCAGGCTGACACTCTATCCACTGAGCCAAACCAACTAAGGCGAAGCAGTAGTATGTTTTGTTTCACTTCCATAAAACTAGGCAGCAACAATAGCAGGTTTTATGGAACACATTGGTTTTGAGTAGTACAAAAGAGCTATAGATAATTTTCTATTCTTTTTTTTTTTTTTTTTTTTTTTTTTTTTTTAAATATATATTTTATTGATTTTTTTTACAGAGAGGAAGGGAGAGACATAGAGAGCTAGAAACGTCGATGAGAGAGAAACATCGACCAGCTGCCTCTTGCACACCCCCTCCTGGGGATATGCCCGCAACCAACGCACATGCCCTTGACCGGAATCGAACCTGGGACCCTTCAGTCTGCAGACCGACGCTCTACCGCTGAGCCAAACCGGTTCGGCTAATTTTCTATTCTTAAGATTTATTTTAAAAGAAACAAAATCTATTATTGAGTACCTTTTACATCTGATCTGAAATATGATAGCCCTGTATGGTTATGTAAATTAATTAAAGTTAAACAAAATTTTAACTGATTCCAGTTTTTCAGTCATACCGGTCTCATTTCAAGTTCTCAGTAGTAGCTAGTACTAGATTAAGTGTATTGGATAGCTTTGATACAAAACACATTCATCACTGCCGAAAGTTCTGTTGGACAGTGCTGTCCTAGGTAATACACTTAGTACTTAAAATGTATATATTTTTTTCATTTACTTTTCTCAAAGAGCCTATGAGGTGTAGAGATTATCATAAATTGTACAGATATGGAAACTGATGCTCAAAAAACTTAAGAACTTGCTTAGTAGCACAGTCCAGTGAGTGTTAGAACATGAACCTGAAATCAGATCTTTCTTGCTTTTAAAATTTGACCTTCTGCCCTAGCCGGTTTGGCTCAGTGGATAGAACATCAGGTTGCAGACTAAAGGATCCCGGGTTTGATTCCAGTTGAGAGCACATGCCTGGGTTGCCAGCTCCATCCCCAGTGGGGGATGTTCAGGAAGCAGCCAGTGATTCTCATCGTTGATGTTTCTAGCTCTCTCCTTCTCCCTTCCTCTCTGAAATTAATTTTAAAAATAGTAATAATAGCCCTAGCATTGGCCTGTGGACTGAAGGGTCCCAGAGTCGAGTCTGGTCAGGGGCACATGCCGGGGTTGTGGGCTTAATCCCCAGTAGGGGGTGTGCAAGAGGCAGCCAACCAATGATTTTCTCTAATCATTGTTGTTTTTCTCTTTCCTGCTCCCTTTCTCTCTGAAATCAATAAAAATATATTTTAAAAATTTCAGCTTTCTGTGTACACCATTAGACTTCCCCTGAGGTATAAATTGCCATGCAGAATACTCTCAGAAAACACCCAATCAATGTAGAGAATGAAATAGATGATAGTGCAAAAACAGGAAGAAGGGGAAAAGAGAGATTTCTTGGAAAAGAAAGGGAAATAGATGACTGATAAAAAATTATGAGAATGAAGCTCTGCCTCAGTTTCTTTCCTCTGAGAAGAGCCAAGTTTTATATGTACATTAAAATTGATGAGGTCAGTAGAGACTATTTTGTGCAAACACGGGACAGAATGATATGATGGAAAAAGTGTAGAGTAAAAATATTTAGATTTATGTCTGGTTATCATTGACTATCTGTGGTTGTGGGCAAGTTACCTAATGATTTAAGTAATTTGCTCAAGATTTTGCAGGTAAGTAAGTTGCAGAGCCAAAATTCAGCCTCCAAACTTTCTGACTTGCAAGTTCTATCTATGGTGTCTGTAATCTTTACCAGTAGTTGTGCTGTCTCCTCTAACCTTTGAACCTTTCTGATACAGGTACCCTCCCATGAAAGGGTTATGTTATTCATACCACTTTGTTCCACTTGTTGCTAATAGATACTCAATGGGATCATACATATATAAAGCCCACACTTGTACATTATATGTTACTGGAAATCTATTATTACTGTATAATACCTAATTTAACCATTATCCACAGCTCCACCTCTGAGAACCAGGTTTAAATTTGATTTACTGGTTTTCTAGCTTATAACATGTTAAAATTTGAGGGGAAGTGACAGGTATTAGAGTTGGGAGGACTAACAGTAGTAGGAATGAGTGCAGTGCCTGCTAGTAGAGAGAAGATTCATGAAAAGAGCTGCAGACTTGGTGTTTGAGAGAGTTCAGAGCCACTGAGTTGGAGATGACAGCCTCACTGGAACCTAGGTGGGAATTTGCACAAAAGTATTTGAAATAATTCTATTAGAAGCAGCAACATGGTTTAAGAACGCAGAGATTTATATGTATGAGAACTTTTAGAATGATGTGTAGCAAAATTGTTCCAGCAAGATTCTTTGGCACTTTGGAAAGTGGTGACCTTCAGTTACTGGAATTCTATTGAGTTGTGATATATTACTATTAAACATCTAGAAAACCAGAATCTTTCATTGTATTCACTTTTTTTGCCTGGAAGTTTTTACTAGTTTCAGTATATTTCCCCTACTTTTGTCAAGGTAATGTATTTTTGTGGGGGTGAAGGTTGGGAGAGAACTCAATTTCCTCATCCAAGACAGAATTTATTTTCAAAGGGAAGAGTAAATCTAAACCAAAGCTGTTACCTTTGAAAACGATTAGTGGAGTCTATTATGTTTTAACCAAACATTTTAGTTTAAAGGATTTTATATTAAAGGCAATTCAAATACTCCACAATTCAAAGATAATGTTGGAATCTGGTTTAAATAAAATAATAAAATCCAGAAAATCTGTAAGGCTTGGAACTCTGCACAGCAGGTTCCATAGCAGAGCAGGTTAAAATTGATGCCTTCACTTGTCAGTCTTAATTTGCTTTAGTCTTTTAAAAGGTGGAAGCATGCCATTACTGAATGCAAGCCCTCCTCATTAGATTAAGGACAGTTTTCTTCCAACTTTTTCAGAAGTACTAAATAAGTGAAGATTTCTCTTAGTTTTTAATTGTTTTGAAAAATATTGACTCTATGCTCTGTGGTTCACTTAATATGCTTAATGTAAAATAAAGCTTATGCTTTGAATTTATGTTTCATTTAGTGCTGTGCAAGCATCTGCAGAACATCAGAAAAGACTTCAACAGTTCTTGGAGTTCAAAGAATAGTTAAGTAATATAAACTGTGTTCATTACACTGCTGATACAACTACAGATGGGACAGTAAATGTTCAGCATTCTTGGATCAGAAGAAAATGGACTAATTAGATGCTTCCTTTGTCGTGGTGGTTGCTTTGAAAACTATACTTTAATGGGAGAAATCATGGAAAGAAATTCTCAACAGAATAACTGAAAACGGCCTTTTCTGTACCAGTTGCTTATTGTGTGTGTGGTATAATAAAATCTTTATTCAATTTCACAGATGCATCTATGGCGGTAGAAATGTCTCCAGCTTATGTAGCTTAATGATAATTAGAAATTTTTTAGAATTTACTTTTGAGAGGAGTAGAGCCAGTTCAGAAGGTAAACTAGGTTGACTTGACCCACTCTTCCTTCCTAGTCATTCTGAGAGTTTAACTCTTGTAAACTTGAAATACATAAACTTTTTTAGAGTTGTTTCTGTTTACTAAAGGATTAAAATGGTAACGTTGGAGAAAAGTACACAGAAAAAATATATTGTCTAAAGGACATATTTTGTCAATCTATTATGTTCTGTTTTTGTTTCCAGAGGCAAATTAAATTTGCATGATTGTCCAAAAAGAGTCTCAATTTACAGATGCTAACTATATATAAAGGAATGTGGAAAAATTCAGTTCTTAAGTTACAAGATTAAACATTTACATTTGGTTTTTAAAAGACAGTAGACTGACATCTACGAGTTTGTGTTATGTCATGTAGTAAACAGTTAAGTGTATGACTGTTTTCCCAACTAGTTTTACTTTCTTTTTCTGGAACAGAACATTAAGTGATTGTAGAGTTTTTCAAGAGAGAGAAAAAGTTTGCAAGAAAAACCAGGAAACTTTTCCCCTTTTTACCACTCTTCATCTTCATTAGATGAAATTATTTTGTGAAGCTTTTTTGGACTTGGAGGGAGTAGTTTTCCCTGTGTTAACTGGCTAATTAAAATATATTAGGAAAGTCTTTACAGCCAGAAACAACTTAGTCATCAAATAGCAAGTGAGACCAAGACGTCAGAAGGATTACTTGGGAGCACTTTGTATGTCTCAAAAGCGAGCGAGGTAATTTTATTTATTTGGAGATAAAAGATTAGAAATCCTTCTAGTAGATATCCACTGGACTAACTTTGGACTGAAATGCTTCCTTGTAATTTCCCCCCCTATTATCTTTCTCCTCTAGTGTCCCAAAAGTGTTTCTTTAGTCAACACAGTATTGTATATGCATCTTCATTAATATGGCGTATATGTCTACAATTTGTCTGATTACTTTGATGTGCTATATCTTTATTCCCTCTGTTTGTTGCCCCTTCAGCCAGCACATGCCAGATTATAAATGGATCCTGCTGACCTTTGAGGTGTCTCTATGAGACAGTCACCCAGTTGTCAAGTGTGTGGAGGATTTGGGCTATTGCCATTGCTTTTCTTTTCACCTCTGAAGACGAGTTGATCCCTTTTGAATGTGAAAGTTGGATTTTGAAAGTGGTAGTTACTTACAGATGGCCAGAAAATTGTGGCTAGGTTGACTGAGAACTGTTGAGTTTTATGTTTTAAAGCCATTGAACTTTTTATATTCCGTTCTCTGTGCTTCCCCTGGCTGAGGCATTTTGGGAGAAAAGGACTCTAACCTTCTGTTTCCATTAAAGAATTGTGGTATTTAACCCATTTGATTCCTGAGACTGATGATGGGATGATTCCTTTAAACTATTAGATAAAATGTCTGGCTAAGTTTAGATTTTTGCCACATACTTTGGGCAAAGGTGTATTTGATGAGCAATGTAAAAATTTTTGAGGTACATTCATTCCTGTTTTCTCTCCAGAAAGAATGTGCTTTGTACAAAATATGGGTCATATGAAATTTGCTTGGTGGGGTGTGGAAACTGTCCCCCCAAATCTGGATTGTATTTAGTTGGTAAGGGAGTCAGTGACTTTTCCCCTTTGTGTGTGGATAATCTCATACCATCTTCGGGGTAGGGTGTGGCGCAGTCACCTGTTGTTAAAAAGCTCCTCTGGCTCCTCCTGTGCACGAGGAGAGAAGCGTTTCCTTTGATGAAGTCACAGCTTGGTTACGAGCCTACTGGTGCTCTACCGTCGGCCTGAAGATTAGAGTGTTCTTTAAAAGCTTTTCTCTGACTGTCGGTATAAAACATGATTCTTCCAGCTCTTGTAATGTTGGCTTGCCCCTTATGGAAAGTATAAATCCACAAAACTCTCCCAGAACTGTCCTAGAATAAACATCGCACCATTCAGTGGACATGGATAAGCTTCAATTTGTTACTTTGCTGGATTTGTTTCTTGGTAATTGTTTTGTATGTATTCCTGTAAATATGGCAACCTGTTTATATACTTTTGTATGTCACTGACCTTGACTTGGGTAGAAAAATAAATTTACATTAAAAAAATGAGACTATTAATTGAAATGTGTATATACAGGGTCAATTATTTAATTTCTGGTGTGTGTTTCCTTAGCCATTTCATTTACATCTCCACTGTTGTTGCTTATAAAACCTGAAAAGATTTAACTTCTTGTGAAATCAGCCTTTGTCTTTAACCAGATTAATTTGGTGGGTGATCAGTATTTAATGGTAACTCTAAGGAGTCTGAATTTTATTATTTATATAATCTTAATTTTTTTTTTTTTTTAAACCCACATGATTGCTGAAAAGGTCCCTGAATTTTATGTCTTTTTTCTTCATTGCTTGGCGTCCTTTCTTCTAAAACTAAACAGAAGAGGCAGGTGCTGAAAGCCATCTTTTAATAGAGGTTTCTTTCCTTGCCAGAATAGTGTTTCTGAACAGATCATATTTCCCCAGGCTAACAGTTATGTCTGTCAACTTTACTTAAATTAGTCTGAACTTCACCTCAAGGTAGTTGAGGTGCTATACTAAAGCCCTGAAATCCCTCTTTTGCTCTCCCTACTCAGTCATCTTTCTTTAGAGCCAAGTAGCTTATAACAAAGATGGCTTTAATTTATCAGTAAACAATCCAGCTAGTCTTCACAAGCTGCAGATCAGAATCACTGTGAGGAGGGTTTATTATAGATCAGGAGTTGCCAAATTTACCATACATCAGAATCACTTGGGAAGCCGAAACCCGTTTGGCTCAGTGGTAGAGCGTCGGTCTGCGGACTGAAAGGTCCCAGGTTCGATTCCGGTCAAGGGCATGTACATAGGTTGCAGGCACATCCCCGGTAGGGGGTGTGCAAGAGGCAGCTGGTCAATGTTTCTCATCGACGTTTCTAGCTCTCTATCCCTCTCTCCACCTCTCTGTAAAAAATCAATAATAAAAAGAATCACTTGGGAAGCTTAAAACACTGGGTCCTCCCTCCAGAGTTTGATTTGTAAATCTGGGTTGGGGCCCAAGAGCTTGCATTCAAATGATGCTGCTAGTCAGAGAGCACACTTTGGGAACTGTTGCTCTGCTCAATTTTCTAATGGGTCTCAGGTGAGTGTCTGAAGCATATGAACTATCATTGCCAGAAGGTAGAAAGCCTGAAGAATACGGATAGATCCTGGAGGTAAGGCAGAAATGCTGAGAAGTGCTGTGTACCAGGCTTTGGGATAGGCTCTGATGGTACAATATAAAATCCTAGACATTGTCCTCAAAGAGCTTACCACATTGTGTGGCTACAGTAAATGGAGGCAACCTTGTTTTGCACATAACTATTTTCTACTCATTTACAGAATTGATGTGTTTTGCTATTGCTGTTTCATTGTTGATTGAGCATCTATTCTGTTCCTAACCTGCACTAAGTGCATCTTCTTCAGTGTCCTGGTGCTTACCCTGCGTTGTCACTTACATTATTTTGCGGGGTCTGTGTGGTTCTACCTTGCCCTCCAGTGTTCTCCTTGTACACACACATCTTATCAGACTTACTGTTGAGTGTGCCCTGCAAGTGGTCCTGGTGGCAAAGTAGTTCTGGAAGACCCATGGGATGCCTCTGGCAAACACATTGGAAGGTGACCTCCAAATCACAGACCTTTTTCTTGGATAATCTTTTGAAGATATCTTGACTATTGATTGGTTTATCCTTTTTATTTTCCAATTTATTAAAAAAAACCTTTTGTATCCTTCCCTAACTATATTATGATTATTAGTTGCAAGGACACAATCCCACCTCAGTTTAGCTTGAGCATAAAAGGCAAGTTTACCCTAAGGGCACAGGAAAGTCATGGTGAGCACAAGTACAGACTTGCTTCTGGACCTCATGAAGAGTCTGGAAAGCCCTCAGGATATCTAAATGGTTCTCCGCTTCTTTGTGCATCAGTGCTTCAGTTCTGTCTACTGGCTTTCCACCACTCCTTCCATCTGCTCCCTAGCTCCTGAGGTTATTATAATACAGACTAAAGAACTTTCTGAATGCCAACTAATTTTTTTTATTGGAAGAAATTAGCCCAAATGGATCAAGTATCCAAGGGTCTAATTAGGCTTCAGGAACAAGATCATGCAGCATCAGTGTGGCTCCTGAGAGCTTCCCTTTGTTGGTCAGGAGAGAGTGGAGGGTAGAGGCAATTCCCAGCGCCTCTCAAGAAAGGGAACAAAAATTTGAGTTTTAGAGCCTGCAAAGAGGGACTGATAAATCTCCTTGCTTTGAGTTGGAACCCAAGAGGGCTGTACCCTAGAAGGAAGGATGAAGAGGAAATAGATTGCATGACTGTAGTTGAGTTAGAATCCTCATTAAATGGAATTGCGGTAATCTCTGTTTGCCATGTTTCTAGATCCTGGGAGAAGCTATCATATATCCTCTTTGGAGGAAGACAACACCTTGTGCCTCAATTATTTCTACAAACAAATTTCTAAATACAATGTCTGCACACAAACATAATTAGGCACAGGAAGAGGCAAGACAACATGAATGACAACAAGGAGAGCATAGGGATTTCAGATATTAGGGTTATCAGATTTAAAAATAATTACCATTTCTATCTATCTATCTATCTATCTATCTATCTATCTATCTATCATCTATCTATCTATCTATCTATCATCTATCTA